TAAGTGTAAGTGTAAGTGTAAGTGTAAGTGTAAGTGTAAGTGTAAGTGTAAGTGTAAGTGTAAGTGTAAGTGTAAGTGTAAGTGTAAGTGTAAGTGTAAGTGTAAGTGTAAGTGTAAGTGTAAGTGTAAGTGTAAGTGTAAGTGTAAGTGTAAGTGTAAGTGTAAGTGTAAGTGTAAGTGTAAGTGTAAGTGTAAGTGTAAGTGTAAGTGTAAGTGTAAGTGTAAGTGTAAGTGTAAGTGTAAGTGTAAGTGTAAGTGTAAGTGTAAGTGTAAGTGTAAGTGTAAGTGTAAGTGTAAGTGTAAGTGTAAGTGTAAGTGTAAGTGTAAGTGTAAGTGTAAGTGTAAGTGTAAGTGTAAGTGTAAGTGTAAGTGTAAGTGTAAGTGTAAGTGTAAGTGTAAGTGTAAGTGTATATATATATATATATATATATATATATATATATATATATATATATATATATATATATATGTATATATATATATATATATATATATATATATATATATATATATATATATATATATATATATATATATATATATATATATATATATATATACATATATATATATTCCTGTGTGTGTGTTCGTATGTATGCAAAAAAGAAAAGTTACTACCTCCATAGCACAATACAGATTCGTCACAAGTTTGCGAAATGTCTAATCCACCTATAACAAATTTCAAAAGTAAATTAACCATATTACTTCTTAAAAACATGATTGGCTTGCTATATTGAGTTTTTTTTTTATTACATTCACCAAAAACGACTTGGTAATTATGTTTTTAAAATTAAGGGCAAGTTATTACCTTCAGCCATTTTGTAAATTCCAGTTCAGTTGGGGTACGTTTTATTTCTTTTTTGATGCTCTTTGTTTTTGTCCAACACTGAAAATAGTGAAATTTTGTTATTTTGTTTGGAACATTATTCAGGGTAAACACATTATCCAAAAAAACAATAATATTAGTACTCCTGTTATTTGGTTATGTGTCAAATAAATTACTTTAGTTAAAAGTTGCTTTAAGCCAAGTAACATGGAGTTTAGCTTTCCGGCTATCGGATAAACCCAATATTATTCAATAACAATGCTTCTTAAATTATGTGCAGTATGGACCTTTGCATTTTGCTATACCATTGTTGTCTATTGTTATGAGTGTAATTGGTGGAACATTTTTTTTTTCAGTATGGAATGAAAATAACTACACTTTTATTATGAAACAGAATATATAATTAAAGAATCATAAATTAAGAAAATAACTAAGCCTATGTATATAATAAGCTTAAAAAATGTTGTCATGATGTGCTAAAAACAAGTAGGCTACTGGTCTACCATAATAAAGTTGAAAATAAAGAGAAGAATCAACTGACTAATTTTTTTAAAATAATACAAAATTAACAAAACATTTAAGGGGCTAGGCAACGGGAAACAACAAAATAAACACTTCTTAATTAATAAGCCCTATTTTTTTATTTGTGTGTATTTAACTAAGGATACTTAATAAGAGAAAATATTTGCCAGAAATAAGGACTCTTCTTAAACTATGGTTGGAATGGTATAAAATTACAAAAAGCCTAAAAATTAGTTTCAGTGTTGTTAAGGAGATTTTGAGAATTACTGATTATTAAAAATAATTCATGATTAAGCATTTTAAAATAGACCAACCGGAATAAGTCAACGATTACGTCATTACACAATTATTCCCGTAGCCAAGCCAATATGAAAAACTGTTGTAAGATGTAAGAATAATTACGTTTAAACCTGTATGTTATTTTTGAAAAGAAGTCGAACAATACATTTTTAAAAGCAAAAAGAAACAAAAATTTAGGAGTGTTATCTATACAGATTCATCTTCAAAAAAATAAAGCTGTTTCGAAACTGAAAGTAAAAAAAAACAAAAAAAAACAAAATTCTAATAAAATTAATCATTTTAAATTGTACCAAAATGAATTCAGCCGTATTAAATTTAAATTTATTATTCAGTTATTTTCTTTAGAATAGTCTAGAATTAGTATTTTTTTTTACTAGGAATTAAAATGAACTCTAAAAATCTTTCTTTGTATCATTTATAAAAATAATATCGGTAATTTCCGAATCAAAGTACACAATCAGAGGCGTAGCGACCCATCCCGGCGCCCGGGGCGAACTTTCAGTTTGGCGCCCCCCCCCCAATATATATATATATATATATATATATATATATATATATATATATATATATATATATATATATATATATATATATATATATATATATATATATATACATATATATATATATATATATATATATATATATATATATATATATATATATATATATATATATATATATATATATATATATATATATATATATATATATATATACATATACATATATATATACATCGGTTCTTAACCTAGATTTGATCGAACCCAGTTAGTCAGTCTCAGGGCTTCGGCGGAACCAAAGACATACACCCGACTCATATGATTCAGGATCGAATTTGTATCTGTGTGGACAATAAACTATTGAGAAGGGTTCGGCGAATGCGCATATGAAACTTGTTTTGTTCGGTACCTCCAAAAAGGTTAAGAACCACTTCTTTAGAGTGTAATTTGTAATTTGTAATTAAGATGGTGCAAGCATATTTATTTTACTTTTGGTCTTGTCTTTAGAACCATTTCGATAATAGTATATTACAATTTAAAATTATCAGGTTGAACAAAGTAAAAAAACGGTAGCAATCGTCGTGTTGAGTGTTGTATCAATTTTACCTCTATAGTAGGTCTAGTGCCCTTAACTATATGAAAACTGCAGTATTAGGACTTGTTAGGAAACATGAAATAAATAAACCGGGAGTGATTTCCCCTAAACTTTCTCGAATATTCTTATATAAAATAACAGGGGTTGGGAACTCGGGCTATAGACATGATTTTTAATCCATTTTAAATACTTAAAGTTTTAAAAATAGAATAAAATCTCGTAGACAAATTAATTGCACACCAAGTGAACTCCAAATAAAAAAGCGCATAATAGTGCGCAATATTATTACTAATTTGAGAAATCGGAAGTAGCGTAAAGTACTACTTCCAGTCAACGGAAATTACTCAAAATTTAACAGAAGGTAGAGAATTAGATCATTTACTTACATGTGAAATTTCATTTATCTATATGAAATAGTACTCAAGTTATAGGCTTTTGAAATATTCAAAGTAGGAAAAGTACCACTTCCGGTTATCGGAAATCGCTCAAACGTTGATACGGATCTACGATTATGATAAAATACTTATATATGAAATTTCATCAACCTAGCTGTAACGGTACTCAAGTTATCGTGTTTACACACGGACAGACAGACAGACAGACACACACACAGACACACAGACATACGGACAAGATTGCAAAATTATGTTTTTCCGTATCAGTGAGGTGTAAAACGTCGAGATTTGTAAAAATCTCGATTTTTTTTTTTTGCACGATTACAAGACTTTCTCTATACTTCGTATATACGAGAAAGTAAAAATTGATCTACTCGGTACAACAGACTAATTTTCTTAGCTCCTAAAATTTCGGCATAGAGAATCACTTTCCACCCACCCTCTCCGACCGTATGCTATTTTACTCATCTGATAGCGTTACAAGAACCCGTGATGTTTATTTCTCTTAAATACAGTGATCCAGGCAAGATGTAATGCAATCAAGTACAAGTATCTGATCTCTCACGTTGAAGTAGAGAGAATCGTAAGAATATTACAAAGAACTAGTCGCGTCATTTCTTAACAAAACTGGGTAGTGAAATAGTACATTACGCGTTAATACATTTGGTTTCTTTTCTAAATGTTAAAAGTTATCTATTGACTGATTTTTGTTGGTGAAAAAGCGCCCCATCCTTTCCTCCCCACCATCTTGGACAAAGTCGGTAGAGCGGATTTTAACCTCACTAACACTTTTTGTAATTTTACACAGTCGTAGTACAATTTGTTTCTTTTCTAAGTGTTAAAGCTTATCTACTCACCAATTCAGTGTACATTCCTGCTATTTAAGTTAGCAACAACGCATCCCCCCCTCCCTTTCTAGGAAAAGCTGGATAGTGGTTTTCGTTGGTTTAACAGTTACACAATAAAGGTAGAAAACAGTTAAATCGGTATGCAAAGGCTTGTAGCCGTTAAATTTAATGTCTTTTACTGTTTATAATTCAAAGCTGCATCTTGAAATGAGCTATTAATTTTTTTACCCATTTTGGCGCCCCTCTAGGGTCGGCGCCCTGGGTGGCCGCCCCCACCCCTCCCTTAGCTACGCCTCTGTTCACAATATACCGTTAGAAAAAATCTAAAAAGATTTTTTTTTTTTTTAAAAACTCCCCAAAATGTTATAGCGATCAAATGAACATTGTCGAACCGCAATCGACTTTTGTTTTAAGTACCATATATAAAAAAGAATCCAATCACTCTCTAAAAAAGCGCCACCCCTGCATTACTTGCAATGTTTAGCAACATTTATTTGTTTAACATATAATTAAAAATTAGTATGTTAAACGTTTAATTTATATATACTGGATATATATATATATATATATATATATATATATATATATATATATATATATATATATATATATATATATATATATATATATGTATATATATATATATATATGTTACGGTCAAAGCCCGAAGTCGGCCAATGCGCGGATTGGCCAATATCGCCTCCCATAGGTCGGTTCCAGTCCGAAACTTTCCTTGATTTCGGGCTGTGGCCGGCCAATCCGCGGACTGGCAATGGTGGACCGGCCAAATTCTTAATTAGAAGATCATCTTGCTAGGGACGACCGGCCAAAGCCCAAATTAGAAGATCATGAGCAGATTTTTTTTATGCCGTAAGGATCATGAAATTAAGTCTTTATTGATTATTAATTGAAGACTATAGTCTCAATCAATCAATTTTATCATTTGTTACAACAAATTGAACTTTTATAACATTTAGAATTACATAGCAGCTTGTTATTTATACACTTGCAGCGATTTGTTGTGCTCTTAGTTGTGCAATTGCAGCGAGTGTAGCCTTGGTCCCCAATCAATAATTGTGAAGATGCGATGGTTCGTAGTGATTTTTCCTCAGTGCCAACTGACGACAATAAGAGCAGTTTTTCGTGAAGAATTGAAAACTCATTTCTAGCATACAGTTGTTTTAGAACACCATGTTCCGTTCTTAATTTGTAGAAACCGCTCTCGACGCTCATGACAACTGCAATCACGCTTCGGGGATCACCGCGAACTCTGTCAACATCTGGAACAAGGATGCGTACATTGTCACCCACTTCACCATCTTTAAATTTTGTATTTGATCTTCTTCTTCTTCGTACTTAATTTTTAGTGTTGGGAGGGGTCGAGCCTTATCTTCCAGATGGTTTGAACTCGAGACTTTTTTTTCGAATTTATCAACCATGAGCTTTGCCGACTCGACCATGCTTCCATCACAATTAAGGTTATGCGCCATTGATTCCAACCTTTTTCCAACCAAGAACTAACTACAAGGCAGCATTTGTTTGATTTTTGGAGTTGTCTCTCCTAGAAGAGTGGTTGTCCCCAGCTAACGAGCCTCATCTGCTTGAGGGTTCGAACTCGAGACTGTTCGGTTTAGCCGTGTTAACCATGAGCTTTACCTACTCGACCACGCCGACCCCCTTTGTATTTGATGTTATAAGCATCTTAGCACCTTGAGTTTGCAAGCCAGTATAGATGCTGACCTGTGTTCCATGATGTCTTGTTTGTTGTGACACTATCTGCAGGTAATGTCTCACCTCCTCATCATGGAGGAGGCTGTCACATACAGTTGTAGCCCATATTGGGAAACTAACAAGGATTTACATTTTTTTTCTTTTGACAGCCATCTGCTATGTCTGTCTCATGGTCTGACGGCCCTTTTGATCCATGATGCCTTGCATATAGGATGCTGTACATAGAAGAGCTAAACAGTACGTTACTCACAATGAAACCGCACCCAGAATAATGAAAACGCGATCACAACTTAGTCTAGATCGAACATTGGCCAGGACATCCCGGCCAGTCCGCGCATTGGCCGGCCAATGTAGAAAATACACTGTTAATTTTAAGCGCTTCGGACTTAGGCCAGTACGTCCCGGCCAGTGCAAACATTGGCCGGCCAAAGCTGGCTTTGGCCGCACTACGGGCTTTGACCGTAACACACACACACACACACACACATATATATATATATATATATATATATATATATATATATATATATATATATATATATATATATATATACATATATATATATATATATATATATATATATGTATATATATATATATATATATATATATATATATATATATATATATATATATATATATATATATATATATATATATATATATATATATGTATATATATATATAAATATGTATATATATATGTATATATAAATATATATATATATATATATATATATATATATATATATATATATATATATATATATATATATGTATATGTATATATATATGTATATGTATATATATATATGTATATATATATATGTATATATATATATATATATATATATATGTATGTATATATATATATATATATATATATATATATATATATATATATATATATATATATATATATATATATATATATATATATATATATATATATATATATATATATATATATATATATATATATGTATATATATATGTATATATATATATATATAGTTTGGCGGGTAAGGGTTTGAAAATGGTCATTTTTATTATTACAAGCTTTTATTACACTCACTTCCTCTGTCTCTCTTTCTGTCTGTCTAGATCGAAATGCTGGAGCGAAAATTCAGACTCTTCTAACTGACAGATACGGTTCGTAAGTGGTACGTTGGTCAAGACATGAAGACAATGCTTTATGACATTAAATTTGACTTAATTGGATGCCTAAGTAATTTTTTGTGACTTAATAAAAATTTGGACCTAATTAGTAGGCAGTTCTATCCACACGCGTCATCACGGCCGTGTTGGGCGTGGAGCGAGGGGGGCTCTACGTCAAAAGCGCGTCATCACGTTCATTAGTCGCGTTTTAATAACAAGCTTTTATGTAATAATGCAGTAAAAAGTAGAAAATAAATTATACACTACTATTTAAATAACTATAAAGAAAAGCGTGGGTCACTTCCTAAATATTAGTAAAGGTATCCAATAGTTAACAACAACTTTTTTCTACAGTAATTTAAATAGTAGTGTCTAATATTTAGGAAGAGACCCACGCTTTTCTTTATAGTTATTTAAATAGTAGTGTAAAATGTATTTTCTAATTTTTAGTGCATTATTATGTAAAAGCTTGTTATTAAAACGTTTTTTATGAATTTTTTTGTATTCTTTATTTATTCTTTTTTCTTTGTTATTATTGCAAATGGCATTAACATCATTGTGTGTCTCTGTTGTTGCTTTTTATGAATACACAATGGAATACTTCTTCCTAGACGGCGAATAAGAGGAATTTAAAAAAGGAATAATATGAAACATATGTACATATATATTATTCCCTTTTTTTTCGTTACCGCTCGATTTTAATTGAATTATTTAAAGCAATAAATTATTTTTCACATAAAATATATTCTGCAATAGTATTACATAAATATTTTCACAGAGAAAGTTCATTAAATTAGAAAGGACCAAAGTTTCTTCCAGGCATATACTTTTACCAGTGTCCTCCTCCCCCGGAAAATTGAGTCCTCCCCCCCCCCCCCACCCCGGAGAATAAAAGTGTGAAAGAAACACTGGAAATGACTGCTAAATATTTTCACTTTGTAATTCTAGGGAACATATGGGATGTGTTAAGTAATACGATTAATATTGCTATGTTATAAAATAGATCAGATGAGTAGGAATGGGCTAATTTGAAAAAATATTTTGTATTAATAAAATGTTGCTGTATTTTATATATCGGAAGTTTTAATGAAGGAATCATGACTACTATATAAGTCAGTCGCCAGTTTAATGGCCTTTATTTTTGTTTTGTTAAGAGAGGGCTCCAAATTGTGTATTTGCATTTATCTGCGCATTCTGCTGCGCTTTACAAAATAAATATTAAAAAATAGATCTTTCAATAGTATACGACAACTCAAATGATATACTAATTAAACATGTTATTTCAGCGTTTTCTAATTTTAAAAAAATGCTTTTAAAAAAAAAGTACTAAACAATTTAGACAAAAAAATCAACATCACATCAAAACCACTTTTAAACAAATATCTTTAATATAACTGCGACACATTTGATCATTCGTTTCTATGGTGAAATCTCCGCGACTTGAATCAGCAGGTTTATTTTAATCAGAAATTCAATTAAAACATAACTCCGCGGAGTTAGCAAACGTTCATCATGATAACACAAGATATTGTATTAGGTGCTTGTGATTCATTAATTCTAACATTTATTAAAGATATTTAATTAATCGTTAATACTTTGTTTGAATCTTTAAATAACTAAGTAGAACATTTTAATTATTTGTTATTATAAGCATTATTTGTGAGTTCTAAGTCATCAAAATATTCTAAAATATACTAAAACAATTGCTACAGGCAGGGTATTCTGTATAAATAAATACAAAACATGGTTTATCAAAACGCACTCTAATATTTATTGACAGCAGCGCTAAATATTTATTTGTTGGACAAATTGAAGTTTTTAATTGTAATCTCACACTTCGTAAATAAACTGTTAAAAAGAATGTTTACATTTATTTCACAACCAAAAAATTTCTTATAACATGTTAAAAATAATGTGTAATTATTTTTTAATGTTCAATTTCTTTTTTTATTTTTATTTTATTTTTAACATGCAAAAAATATTAATTTAATTCGTAGTTTTGTACAGCTTCAAAGACTAAAACAAATAAAGTTTATACATAGTAAAATAATCACTAGGGGATGTAACTCTGTTTTTCTCGACGTTAACTGTATAGCCAAAGAGTGACATATTCCTGAGCTCAAGGCCAGAAACAAAAACGTGGGAAAAGGGTCGATGTATAAATGATCTAACACTCCGTGTATCCTGAATTTTCCCTCACCCAAAACGGAACCTCGTGACGTGCGCCCGCTGAATGTAATCAGCCACCCAGTCCGGGTAAGGAAGAGGTATCTCCTCCCAACATTCAATTTCCACCCCCCTCCCTCTTTTGTTTGTTGAGAATTATCTGTCTTTTTTTTGTTCTTTAAAGATTTTTAAAAATATTTTTTTAGTCTATCTCCCTTTGAGAATAAAATATCATTTCAATCCTAAGAAACTAAAAAGTCAACCTATAAATAGCCATTATTACCAGTCGGTTTTTGTTTAGTCGTGATAGTTAAACTTAGTGTGATAGCCTTGTTTGTTGTGGCTGTTTGATTGGTGGTTTTTTTTTAACTAATATTATTATTGGATGTTGAGAGGATTATAAAACAAACTCCATGAATCAAACAAACAGGAATTTAACAGACACTTACGCTACAATATAAATCATTGGGTTTCGAAGGTACATGTATATTAACTAGAGTTTGATAAACTTCACTTGACGCTGTCATCGGCTCTATTGAGATAACTATCAATTACTATGTTCTCTGCATTGTCTACGTTGACTGTTACTGAAGCAGAAGATGTAGATTGGTCATCTTTTGGCGTTTCAGAGCTTCCACTCATATAAACGTTCATTTTATCAACTTGCTTAATTCTACAATTTTGAACGTTTCTGTGTGGAAATATGTTTTATGGAATTACATAATGCAGATTAATAATTTTGTTCTACATAAAATTAAGAAGCATTCATTAAATTTGTTCAACATAATTTGAACCATTTTTAAAAAGTTTTAAAAGATCAAAATTGACAGCTAGCGTACTATAGTGGAGCAGAGTTTCTTCCAGGCATCGCTTCGTGGAGGCGGAACCCCCCCATCCAACCCCCCTCCCAAGAAAGTCTACCGCCCCCCTCCCACCCGAACGAGATGGATTTTATATAGTAAACATACACTTTAACTATTGTCCGCACCCCCCCCCCGAAAAATGTTAACCCCCCCCCCCCCCCCCCCCCGAAAATTTCAAAAGCCCCCCGGAGAAAAAGTTTGGAAGAAACACTGTAGTGGAGAAAAGCAGAACCTCGTGATTTTTATTCATTTCTTCTCACAGTTCTTTAAGGGCTTCAGATTAATATAATTTACGACTTTTGTTAGCAATGAAGTCGGAAGAGTCTTGCCTGCGAGGGCATAACGGTGAATCATGCAGTGGATTCCCCTTGGTTTTCTATAAGCCCGATTTTGACCTAAATATAGATGGCGCACCATCCGTACAAAGGTTCAAAAACCGTATTTATTTTCTCTCTTTGATATCTTCACAAAACAGCAACTCTTCTTTGCTATCATCTGAATACATATATTTCACAAAGACAAGCAACTGCGAAAACGAACTCACGTCTGTTGATTCATCAACTTGAAAAGCAAATATTTGTGAAAGCTTGATTTCATTCAAAATTTGTTCTTTAACAATTACGTACACGTCTGCTATAAGTCGCTGAATAGTATTATTAGACAGGGCTTTTTGTTGTATCTTTACGGCCCTGGAATCCCCAAGAATTAATTTCACCATCTTCAACATGCAGGGGTTGTTGAGATTTTCTCCTATTGTGTTAGATTTTTTTTGCTTGAAAATTTCTAATGTAACTTCATATGATGCTTGCACTAATGCTGTGTTTCCGAGGTGAAAATTTCCAGTTCGACCAAGTCCCTAATTTTTACAACTAGCTTCATGCCAACGAAAGAACTTATATCCTTTTTAGTTTTCCCAATGACTTATCTCAAATTACGTTTTAGTTTTGAAGGTTTCACTTTCATAGACTCATGACTGATAACAACTTTGCACAGTACACATTGTTTCTTCTCTATTCCGTTTCCAGTGGTGTTAGTAAAGTCAAATTTCAGATAATCTTCCAAATATTTATGTTTTGTTTTTCATTCCTAAGGTAAAGTCTACAAGTTGGCAACCCCCCCCCCCCCCCCTCCCACAGAAAGCCCTGCACAGTTTGAGAACCCATGCTTTAGTTGTAAAAACCTAATTATTTTTATTACCTGTCGGTCGGTCGGTGGGTCGGTCGGTCGGTCGGTCGGTCGTTCCGTCCGTCGGTCCGTCCGTCGGTCCGTCCGTCCGTCGGTCCGTCCGTCCGTCCGTCTGTCTGTCTGTCTATCTGTCTGTCCATAAAATGAATATAAATAGTTTTGTAATACTTGACAGTAGTTATACTATAAAAAGCATCTTACATAATGACTGGCTGGTTGCTATCAATATCTAAGTTTGGGTAACTTCTGTTTCTATCTTTTTCAGCATAGAGCGTTTCATCTATGGAGTCGCTAAAATATGTAATAAATGTAAAATTTAGATTTAAAAGAAAGGACATAATGTAGTATATTGGGTCTATTTCACAACCTCATTGATGCTGTTAACTGTCTACAAGAACACTTACTTTTTACATAGGCTTAGTAAGCAAAATCAAAACTTTTTATTTCAGCATCCATATGTATAGCCGAAGCAGTAGAGCGCTAGGCTTCAGACTTAAAAGTCTCGAGTTCGAATCCGGGTCAAAGTCAATAGAACGTTAATAAGTCCACCCAGCTCAGATGGGTACCTCACTCATATTAGGGAAAAGTAAAGGCGGTTCGGCAAAGTGCTGACCAAAGTGCCGAGATCAAGAAACATATGAACTCAAATTCGTCTGCCCAATGGATAGCTAGGTCTAAAGAGGATTCTTTACATTTTACTTATATATATATATATATATATATATATATATATATATATATATATATATATATATATATATATATATATATATATATATATATATATATATATATATATATATATATATATATATATATACACTCATATACAGACCTTTCCACATCTGGTTTCGGTCGAAACTTTGTTCCTGTAGAAAGTAATATTCTATAAATATATTTAAAGTGGTATCGACAAAAAGTATAATCACTTAACATCTACTTAATTGGTACAATCTTGAAAAACATGTACCAAACGGTACTTCATCTGTTATGTTTTTGCATAGACATTGTCATTAAAGTAAGCAATTGAAACCAAATAAAGTCATTATAACATACATGCCTATTCTCTGAGATGTAAGTTAATGAAAATCTTGATTAAATGTTGTTGGAAAAAAAATACTAAGATAAAAATATACCTGTAATAAAAGGAGTGTTCAAAAGTAGTTTGGCAGGTGGTCGCTCATTAGGATCTTTCTGCAGCGTTGAGTAAAGAAAGTTTTGTAACTCTCGGGAAGTGTTGGCTGAAAGAACATACTCTGGTTCTGCTCCCATAATATGCTTTCGTATTATTTGGAGCGGTTCCAATCCATGGAATGGTGGCTGGCCACATAGCATTTGAACAACAGTGCAGCCTACACTCCTATTTCAAATAATATTGTTATGAAAAAAAGGCAAAAAAACTTGAAAAACTGAATGTAATAGTAATTTAAATTAAACATGTTTAGCAATAATTGGTCATGTTTTATATTGCTTTTTTTTTTACTTTCTCGTATTCGGCGTGTAGGAAGAATTATTTTAATAATGCAAACACTCGAAACCTTACACCTTCCTGAGCTAGAAATCACAAGTTTTACAATCTGTGAGTGAATGTGTTTATGTCTGTGAATATGATAACTTGTATACCGTTTCAGTTAGGTGGATAAAATGTAATATATGAGTGTTAGATCCTTTACTTAGGTTATTATCAACTTGTGAGCGATTTTCAATAAGCGAAAGGGATATTTTACTTTCTCTCAAATGCCGTTCAATTGCCTAATGTATCATATGAAATATAATTTTCAATTATTAGATCATATGCGCAGATTTTTTTAAAATTTTAAGTGATTGATTTTCGGAACCTGAATTGGTAAAAATATGTATTTCGTTTTCTCAAAAATCTTCAGAAGTTTATATTTTTATATCATCTGCATAATACAAGGCAAAGTTTCCAAAGGTTTTGAGGGCAACGCAAGATTTTCAACTCAAAAATTACTTAATTTTCAATTTGGGGTTTAATCTGCCCTTAATGCTTAAAATGTGAATTAAATATTTAGCAATAGTGTAAAAGTTAGTGTTTTGGGGTTTATTTTGGTTTAGATTTTAATCGCGTTTTTTCTTCTTCGAAAACCTATGCAAATCTAGGCAGTATGCCTATTATTGGAATACCAAAAAAAGACCTGGAAAATATCTAACGAGTAGATGGGGAATATTAACTAATCAAGCTTGTTGTGCAAATGTGATCTTGGTCCTGTGCTCCAAAGGGAGTATAAGATAAAAAGGATAAAAATGTTACCAAATGTCAACTTTTGTTGTATATCGTACACCTTCGAAAACCTCTGGAGCCGTCCAGTTGCATGTGCCTACATTTGTTGTTGAAGCACTGGTTAAAACCCCCAATAATTTAGCCGTTCCGAAGTCGGCTAATCGAATTGATGTACTACTTTCTAGCAATACGTTGGCACCTGCAATACCAGAATAAAGAATATTTCATATACCAGTGGCGTAGCCAGGATCGTCTCAAGGGTTGGGTTCAAATCTTTACCCGGGGACAAACTTTCGATTTGCACCCCCCCCCCTCATCTCAAACTTTCGATTTGCACCCCCCCCCCCTCAAACTTTCGATTTGCACCCCCCTCATACTTTATATATATATATACCGAGAGGTTTATGGGGGGGAGGGTTATGACCCCCCTTAACCCCCCCCCCCTGCCTACGCCAATGTCATATACACACTTTTAAGTTTTTATATATAAGAAATAATTTCAACAACGGGTTTTTGTATTCTTTTTTACCCACTTGACTTCGACAAAATAAAAATAAGAGTGAAAATTTATTTATTTTAATTTTAAAGGAGAATAAGTTATAATTTACAGACACAAGCATCAGTCAATGATGAAAAATACTTTAACATGCACCAATGAAGCGAATAAGAGTTGTTTTATATTCTACCTTTAATGTCCCTGTGTATAAATTTTTCCTCGTGAAGGTATGCAACTCCCTCAAGAATTTGCTTAGTGTACATTCTTGTTGTATCCTCGTCAAGTGCCCCTTTTTTGCTTATGTGATTATCCAATGTTCCCTTTTGGTAAAAATAAACAAGCACTATTTAATGCTAATAATTTTTAAAAAAATTACCATCTTGTATTTAAGTTTTGAATAAAAAGCCATGAAATGACCTTCGTGTCAGCTTTTGGTCGCCATTCTCCTACGTTTAAAACTTAAAAATATTATAGTTTCTTAAAACTTATTTTAAGGTCTTGTTAATTCTAAAGAAACATTAAGCAAAGACTTCGGCACTAAAATTTTGTCTTCCAAACATTATTATTACCATAGAGAACCTCTCCATAAAAATGTACAATGTTAATTCATGTTCATGCATTGTATAAACAGGAACAATACGTTCATGGTTAAGACGATTTAGTACAGATTTCTCGGCATCTATAGTTTTCTGAAACATTTAAAGAAATGGTTTTGTTACTGTAGGGTCTACTGATGGAATGAAAACTATTAAGGTCGCTCAAATATTAAGTTTAATATATATTTTGTCCGGTATTTTTATTCTAAGGTTATCAATGACAATTTATTTAGTTAACAAAAACACTATATATATATATATATATATATATATATATATATATATATATATATATATATATATATATATATATATGGGGGGGGGGGAAAGTGTGTAATTCCGACCCCCTAAGAAAGTTAATTAAAAAAAAACTTCCTGTCAGCAGCAGTTTATTTTAACTTTACACGAAAGTTTATGAAACCCATAATATGTCTATATGTAATAATTAAAATGGAAGGCAAAGTAATCAAAAAATAGACCGAGAATGATCTCCCCTTAACTTTCTCGAATATTCTAATATAACACTACGTGGGATGGCAACTCGGAATATAGACATGATTTTTAATTACTTAAACTTAAAAAAAAAAGAATATAACCCCGTAGATAAAAGAATTGCGCACCAAGCGAACGCGAAAACAAAAATGTGCATAATAGTGCGGAATATTATTAGTACTTTATAAATTACCATACGGTTTTTTTCGGTCAAAAGAAATTACTCAAAATTTGATAGAAGGTAGAGGATTAGATTTTTTACTTAAATGTGAAATTTCATATATCTATCTGAAATAGTACTCAAATTATATGCTTTTGAAAAATTCAAAGGAAAAAATTCCACTTCCGGTTATCGGAAATCGCTCAAAAGTTGATACGGATAAATTACTTATATATAAGTAAACACGATGACTTGAGTACCGTTACAACTAGGTTGATGAAATTTCATATATAAGTATTATATCAAAATCAGAGATCCGTATCAACTTTTGAGCGATTTCCGATAACCGGAAGTGGAACTTTATTCTACTTTGAATTTTCCAAAAGCGTATAACTTGAGAGCTATTACATATAGATAAATGAAATTTCAGGTGTAATTAAAATTTCTAATTCTCTACCTTCTGTCAAATTTTGAGTAATTTCTGTTGACCGGAAGATTTCTCAAGAAACACATGTGAATTTATAAACTACTAATAATATTCCGCACTGTTATGCACATTTTATTTGGTTTTCGCTTCGAGTGCCATAGTTTTTTCTATTCTATTTTTAAAAGTTTAAGTATTTAAAATGGATTAAAAATCGAGTCTATATCCGGAGTTGCCATTCCTGTTGTTTTATAAAAGAATATTCGAAAAAGTTTAGGGAAGATCGCTCTCGGTTTATATTTCTTCATGTATCTGCATTTTTAGATAAAACAGATTTTAAAAATTAATTTTTGTCTGTCTTTTCACGTGTTTTGCAGCTAGTAATAAATAAATATAACTAGATGATGTCGGTATCACTTGTTGGTTGCTTTAATAATTTTAGACGAGATATAACAAATAAGATTGTATTACATTTAGACGGGATTTGATAAATAAGATAGTTATTACATTGCTTCTAGATAAAGGTTAAGGATTAGGGTATGTATAAAGGTCAGGTCTAGTTATGAGTTCGAGCAACTGTTTTATTCTATAAAAGAAATAGTATCGATACTTTAAGCATGGAGGAACGGTTATTCCCAGCTTACCGTTTCCCCGTAATTTTGTGTCGGGAATTCAAAGTCTAAATATAGATTTAGAAATAAGGCGTTTCTAATCCCTTAAAAGTCGCTGAAGATGGCCGTAAAAACGTAGATTTCTTTTGTTTGGGTAAGCACAAAATTAAAATGACGTCACCCATTTTCAGTAAAGAACCTCACCTCAAATAGTATAGTGCAGTTAGCTTTTTACTTATTTACTTACTCACTTCTTGGTCTTTTTTATGTTTATTTATTTGGTTTGTGTAAGCTGTTTCAACGAAGTGAGATAATATTTTTTTAATTAAAAAATACCTTCGCTTTTTCTTTATCAATGCTGCAAATAGTAATTGCCTTGACTGCAAGCTTGTTGGGTATTGAGCCATCAGAAAGCTCAACATCGTACACGCTGGCAAATGTCCCGCGTCCAATAAGGTCCTTTCTTATCCAATTTGAATTTACAAGACCATCTAAAGATAAAATATTCAAAGATAACATAACTAAATGAATGTTTAGGCAATATATTATGTATATATATATATATATATATATATATATATATATATATATATATATATATATATATATATATAGGTATATAGACTATATATAGACTTACGCTTATAAATACCATGCAATTTATTTCTTCCATCAATCTCATTGATTCAACATATTTCCTTTTCAGTCGTTTTTTTCTTATAATTTCATTAATTAAGCAAGTAAATGTTAATTTATATAGAAATGTGCATAGTTGATATTCATTTATGTTTATAGAAAATCAAACAGTAACTTTACCTCCATGTAATTTTAGTGACTCTGGCAAAACTTCTGGTATCTTCACTTCACCTAATTTTACACCATAGATTAAATTAAAGTATAATGGACGTTTATTATGTAAACATGTATAAACTAATCGACTTAGTCGTATATATTAGGCCCTGTGGTTAGGGAATTCAGTCTATACTTTAATTTTAGTGCGATAATATATATAACTAGTATAGTAGCGTCGTAGTTTTTAAAACAAATGGATCTGACACTATTATATTGAAAACGGGTTCATCTTTATTCTATATATTACAATGGACCATAATTAATTTAATATAAACTCACGCATTTAGTATTAAAATGTATTTTTGTGTTCATACTTTTTAAACTAACAAAAACAAACCTTTTTGGTGATCTGAAAACGAATAGTTCATTCCTGTGTAACATTCAGAGGAATACTGACTGAATTTTTCGGATTAATCACACATCCGCCTCAAGCAGTGATTCCCATATTAATCTGAGTGGTTACCAGCGTTGCAAATGATAAGAGAACGTACGCAGTATATGTAATATGTAACTAATAAGGGATACGGGTCGACCATTTGAAGACATGGCGACTTAGCGTGCTGAAAAAGGCTGCAAGGGTAACAAGGCATTGGGAACTTCTGAAAAGGGTGGCAGGAGACCATGGGGAGTAGAAAGCTTTGACGGAGGCCTTTTGCTTTGCTAGGTAAGAAAAATAAAAATGTTGTTGATGAATGGGAGATACGGGATGATGTCTTTTCTTGATGTGTTATCCAGAGTTTTTTCCAGGCATCTTTTCGGAGGGGGGGAGGGGGGGGGCTCTGCCCCCTCCAACCCCTCGAAAAAAGTCTACCCCCCCCCCCCCCCCCGAACGAAATGAAATTTATATAGAAAATATATACATTTAACAGTGTCCGCCCCCCCCCCCCTAAAAGAAAGTCTACCCCCCCCCCCCCGAAAATTTCAAGTGCCCCCCCCCCGAGAAAAAAGTCTGGAAGAAGAAACACTGGTGTTATTTACGCGCTAGGGTGGCACAGAGCAATGATATTAAACATTGCACTGTAATCTTTTAAAGGGGTACACTCAGGTTTTTTTTCACTATTTTTTACAATGTAATTGCCATGTTTGATACTTAAAAGTAAGTAGACCTATTAATCAGCAAAACAGAATCCAATTGTTAAGAAAACCTCCATAAAAATCCGCAATTCTACATTTTTCCGCACTTTTAAAAATGCTACGGCTTTTAGATTTATGCATTTATAGCAATCAAATTTACACTGCTTTTATTTCAGTATAGAATAAAGCTGGACACATTTAATAAATGGTGGTTACGAATTCATTTAAAAAACGACTCTCTATACTAGTTATAGTATATGTATATATATATATATATATATATATATATATATATATATATATATATATATATATATATATATATATTAATATTGCCTAAACATTCATATATATTTGTGAGAGAGAGAGAGAAGTTGGGGGGGGGGGAATAAGCACCTTAGGTATTTTTTCTTTCTTGTCAGCCGAAATAAGCACTACTATAAATAGACCTATTTCTAGTCATTCTAGTACATGAGTTCCAGAGGCCACACTCAAAATGAACTCGAATAAGATGATAGTTAAGATGATATTTAAAAATATAATTATTTATTTCTAGATTTAAAAGAGAACTGTAATAGAATTAATATGTTCTTTCCTAAACAATCTTGGACCAAAAAATAATAACTGAGTTTCTTCCAGGCATCTCTTCAGGAGTGGCACCGCCCTCCACCCCCCACCCCCCCACCCCGAAGAAAGTCTATCGCCTCCCCCCCCCCCCCCTTCCCGAACGAAATGGAATTTATATAGGAAATATATACTTTTGACAGTGTCCGCACCCCGCCCCCAAAAAACTTCAAGTGCACCCCCCCCCCCCCCCCCGAGAAAAAAGTCGGGAAGAAACACTGGGCTACACTAGTCAATTCGTGCGTCTGTGGTGTAACAATGTCGGAAAATCAGTAATATACTGTAATTTTATTTGTTGTTTTATAAAACAAAAATTATGTTCACGGGGTCACAACGAGTTATAAAACTCGATAACCGTTGTTAAGATGAATAGCGGGCAAAAAATACTCTTTTCAAAATGTTCATGGAATAAATCTATATTTAGATTTTTTTTTTCGTTTTTGAATTTCCGAAACAGAGAACGGGAAAGCTGGGATATACGTTGTGCTATGCTGAAGTATCGATACTTTTACTTGGATGAACAGTGCATGTTAATGTCGCTCGTGGCTTCTTGACCTGATTCCTGATTAATATAATTAATGACTTACTTAAGTTGTACTACTGTCAACAATGCTTGAAACGATCTAAAAATAACACCATTATTGAAATAAATGTATTTAATAAATATCGAATCCATAGAAAATTGTGTAAATAAAATTATAATTGTGTCGATCATTTCTTTTATTACTTAATGTTAGCCTAAATAAACTTAATAAAGTAATGCTAAAAGTAAAAAAAAAAATCTAGTAATAATTAAGACTAGAAATATTTATTTTACCTTGTAGAATAAATACTAAAAGTAATAGCCCTGTATTTATTGTTTTATATACATAGTATAGACCAGGGGTCTCCAAAGTACGGCCCGCGGGCCGGATGCGGCCCGCGAGGTCCTCTCGTCCGGCCCGCGGAGATTTTTTTGACCACGGAAAAAACGTTTGTTGGTAATGGCTGAGGAATTTGCTCAGAAAAATCACGACATGCCTAGAAACAAATTGGCCCCCATGGCCCCCGAACTGAAATTTGATAGTTAATGCGGCCCTCGGACTGAAAAGTTTGGAGACCCCTGGTATAGACTATAGGTGTAGATCTATTTGAACCTGAAGGCCTATTTAGAATGCAGGCTTATTTCCTGACTATATTATAAAAAAATAGGTTAGGGCCTATTTGATATATTTATTATTTATCTAAATTTATGGTAAATCTTTAAAATATGCTGATTCTTTTAGTTCAAGAGACAAGTAGTAACCACTAATGACAAATATAATCTGATTTTGAAAATATGTTAAATGAATTTTCGTTTTATACAAATAGGATCACAACTGTTGGGTACCCTTTGAAAAATCAAAGTTGTGTGAATTAAGGACCATTGTATATATATATATATATATATATATATATATATATATATATATATATATATATATATATATATATATATATAGTAATCTATCGTTTTAGGTACGTAAAATCGCCCGAGACTAGTAATGTGAAAAACAGGTGACTCCTTACATTTTAATAATTATTTCACATTTTGAGGAGGATTTATGTTTTGAAAAATACAAAAATGTTTCCATGTTTCATTTATGTACCTGTTTTTAAACAATTGAATTAAAACTTTTCAGTAATAAATGAACACTAGCGATGTTTCCAATAGATGCAACCATGCTCATTTACTATAGCAGCCATCTTGTTAAAGTTTTATTTTTTCCCACGTTTTCTTTAACTTGCTTTCTCTGTTTGTGTGTTTGTCTTTCCAATCAAATCTTGCGATCGAAATTTCTGGCACTTCCCAGTTAGCTAGCGCGCTGAAATTTTCAGGGAAGCTTTCTTTTGGATGACCATTGAATATTCAATTGTTATTATTACTAAATTGATCAATGGAAACATTTTATTGAGCATTTTAGACCGCTATATAATCTATATATATAATTCTCCTCTGCTAGCCATTAGAAAAAAAACCAGCGACGCGTACCTCGCGCGCAGTGAAGCGAACGATCACATGTCGCCACAGGCTTAGGGGCAGAGAATTTAGCTTGAACCGAGTTTAAACTTACAGGAGGTAGACCAGTTTGGGGGAGACGATATGGTCGAGTGGTTGGGCACACGATTGCTATCCCACTCGACACGGGTTCAAATCTATGTGTTCTAGTCAGTAACGTATTCAAACAACGTGTTTTTTACGAGTTGTCTTTTTACGAGTTGTCTTTTTACGAGTTGTCTTTTTACGAGTTGTCTTTTTACGAGTTGTCTTTTTACGAGTTGTCTTCGTTTACCCAAAAAAAGTGAAAAGATAAAATCGATAGCAAGATTTTAATGCAAACAAACAGACAAAGACTAAAAAGTAGAAAATAATAATCATTAAAAAAGTTTTTAAAAACCCACGTTTTCTGATTGAACTAAAAAGTAGAAAATAAATGCTATAGGCCCTACATCACAATAATGCAAGCGATCACTCTACTATAAGCGAGCAAAAACGTGGGGCGCCGTGATTTTCTTACAGTTTCTAATACTGTTGACTCTCTACAAGCTCCCTAATAAAAGTCAATAGTATTATCTAATCAATAGTAATATAACTTTTACTTCGGCGCCCCACGTTTTTCATCGCTTATAGTAGAGTGATCGCTTGCATTATTGTGATGTAGGGCCTATAGCATTTATTTTCTACTTTTTAGTTCAATCAGAAAACGTGGGTTTTTTAAAACTTTTTTAATGATTATTTTATAGACATAGCGGGAGATTCAGGGGGAAGTCACTCTATTTTACAAATGGCTGCTGTTTAAATAGGAAATCTTACTTGCAGACACTGCTGTTTAAAGTTAATTTCTGGCCTATATTGATATATTTAGCCATTGTTTTAGGTTTATTATCCATTTATCTATAATATTTGACACAAACATATCACAATATACTTCTATTACAGCCTTGACAACGAGGTAACGCTTTCGTACATTAATAGCCGCGGGCGATTTTACGTACCCAAAACGATAGATTACCATATATATATATATATATATATATATATATATATATATATATATATATATATATATATATATATATATATATATATATATATATATATATATATATATATATATTAGTATACATAAAATTAACTATATGAAAAAACATTTTAGGACCCTCTCTTCCTCTTGACGATTACCTGCCACTGACGATATCTAACCCAGCTCTATTAACTAGTACTAGATCTAGTCATTAAAGCTATTCGTTTACAAATGTTTATTAACAGTGCAGAACTTTTTTAACTCTTGCGTTTATAGCAAAAAGAAACCTATTTAGGCCTCAAGGCACTATCTAAATCACTTTCTTCTTGGATCCATATTGCACATAAATAAGACAATATTGCCAAAAAAAGGTCATTTTCAGCTGCTTCTTCTTTTGTCTATGGATCAAGATATTAGTTTAATAAATTGCAGACAATGCCGTTAAAATTTCACAATAGTTCATACAAGATTTGTTAGATTATTTTATTTGCAGTCAGCTCAACTTGGCTAAAGCAGTTAATGGTCTACAGTTTTTAATATTTATATTTGTACGCTGCTCTAAGGATGATGTTGGCAGCCATGGCTCTGATTTTTTCCTTTACAGCAATATGCTTTGTAAAGCCATGAAATGCATTTAAGAAAGTAA